GGATAAAAATATCCATTGTTAACCACTAAAAAGTATTTGGATCTAAATCGGGTAGTTATGTTCGAGTTTTTATTCTATTCGGATTTACCAATCAGGTTTCGGGTACCCATAGAAAATTTTAATCTCTAAAATAACAAAAAAAAAAATGGTAAACGCAATTAGAAAAAAAAACATATTGCGTTTCTTTCTCTCTCTCTTTTCCACCTACGACAACGAGCCATACCTATTCATCTTCCGACCGATTAACATCACCATAAGTCTCTCTCTAATTTATCATCGCCGATTCCTTAAAATATTGATTTTGGGAGTTTCGTGTATCTTGAGTTTGATGGGTCTGATGGGTCGTTTATCCTGGGGGTCTATGAATGAGATTTTATTTGAAAAAAATGTATATTTATTTGAAAGACCCAAATAAAAAAAAATGTACATTTATTTGAATGAGAATTTCCTAGTAAAATTCTTCATTTTTTTATTTGTGTTTGTTTCCTTGATCAGGTTTTGGTCGAGAAAATGGGATTTCTCGAAGGATCAAATAAAGCTTCGTCTTTGGCTGACAACGATGTTTTACGTATGTATTCTGAAGTATCTGTGTTACTCATGTGTTTTACGGTTTTATCGATGCTAAACACTTTACCTTCTTTAACATCATTGAAGGTTGTTGTCGGCTATGGAGTGAACTAGAACAACGAATTGCCACTCTTGAGTTCGACCGTGACCGGAAATCAATGGGAGTTATGGTGGATTCCAGCTCAGGAAAGAAACTGCTACTGGTTAAGGTCTGTTGTTCTTGATTTAGCATATTCCATTTCCTGAGGTCGAGCCTGTGAAGCTTTGTATACTTTGGGGAACCTGTTATCTATGATTATGTGGCTTGTGGTTTAGTTCTCATGGATACATGTTATTAGTTAAGAAAACTTTTGTCCCCTCTTTTTTCAGCACCTCAAAGACCTATACTGGAAAGGAGTACTCGTATTCAGTTACTTGATGGCTCCACTCAAGAACTTGACCAATACTCAAGGGATCTTATTTTACAAAGCCTACGTGATATGTCCTTGAGTGCATTAAGATGTCTCGGATTTGCATACTCAGATGRTCCATCAGATTTTGCCACTTATGATGGCAATGAAGACCATCCTGCTCACCAGCAACTTCTCAACCCATCCAATTATTCTTCTATTGAGTCCAATCTAGTATTCGTTGGATTTGTTGGTTTAAGGGTGAGTCACAGTCACCGTGATATAATTTGTCCATTCCTTTTCCTCTTTTGTGATTTATTCATATTCTACCTTTTCGATGATTGAAGGATCCTCCGAGGAAAGAGGTGCGTCAAGCCATTGCAGACTGCAGAACAGCTGGTATCCGGGTCGTGGTTATTACTGGAGACAACAAAAGCACAGCGGAAGCGATCTGCCGTGAAATTGGCGTATTTGAAGCAGYTGAAGATATCTCTTCAAGAAGCTTGACAGGAAACGAATTTATGAATGTTCAAGATCAGAAGAATCATCTAAGACAAACTGGAGGGCTCTTGTTCTCAAGGGCTGAACCAAAGCACAAACAAGAGATTGTTAGGTTACTGAAAGGAGATGGAGAAGTGGTTGCTATGACTAGAGATGGAGTTAATGTTGCTCCTGCACTGAAGGAGATGGAGAAGTGGTTGCTATGACTAGAGATGGGCATTTCCGGTACAGAGGTATTTG